TGGGGGGGGGGGGGGTAAGGTTGATGGAATTTTTTTTTATGTTCATTTATCCTTTAGTCAATGGTACTTATTTATTACCTTAGTCACACCCCTAAACACAAAAACATATTCCGCAAAGTCTATGTAATATTTTAGTATAAAAAGCGCCTTATCACAGGAGACTGTACGTCACAGCTCCCCGGGAGTTCTGTGCTTCTGCTTTGAGGTGACGAGAGCCAGAGCTGGAGTCAGGATGTAGGCCGGACCACCTGTTCACAACCACCAGCCTGTCTGCTCGTCTCCCGCTGAGCAGTGACAGTGTCCTATTAGTGTCTTATAGCCTATTTGTCTGCCAAGCTTTTACATTCTTTCCCAAACTCTCGTCCTATTTAATGAGACTAACCTGCAGTCCCAGAGGTATATTTGTCATTTCACCAAGGAGAGTTTTACCAACTTGGAATAATATTAGCTGGGCTTCCGTTCAACTATCTTACTTAGTTTACCCAATTTATCCACACGGAATTATCCTGAGATTAGGTTAGACATTTAAAGGTGAAAATAAATCAAACTATCTACTGAACGATGACAACTGGGGGAGTTTGACTTCATCTACAGAGCGTTAATCTAGTTAACAATCAAACCTACTGAACTATCCAGGGGAGTCCAACCTGGGGATCCAGCGCCAGTGGTGAGGGGGGGGGGCGTACTTACCTGGTAAATGTCTGACAGGCTGCTGCTTCCAGAGTCGCTGGTGATACTACATCCTGAGTGGCTGGAGGAGACGTGGGTCACCTGTGGGTGCAAGCCGTCGGCCAGGTGAAGTCTGCTGAAGTCTGCGGGGAGCTGCACGTACACACACACAACATACACACAGATGGTCAGTATCAGCCAGCTCAGCCGCTACCACTGGTCAGTGGTCACTCACACTAACACCCATGCTGACTGCCAGACGTGTTGAAACGCACTTAGTGGCATGTTGTCCCTCAGCTTGTCTGGAAACAGTGTGAAATAAAAGTCTTCTCTACTTAAGTGTTATTGCCCCTTTAATTTTAATTGGAAAGTAGCCCAAGAAACACAAAAAAAGTCTATTCTGTTGATATTCCACAGTTGGGATAATGCAATGTTAACAGAACAAAAGATATTAATTAGTCCCACTGCAATAGCTCAACTTAACACATCATTTCTTATCAAAGCAAAGCAAAGGCAGAAAAAATAAGGTGTTAATTAAATCTGACTTCCACAGAGTCTGTCAAACACATTTATCATGTTTAACACAACATAGGACTGAATAAAAAAAGACTCCTCCTCTGTGTCAGTTTAAGAGCACACTAAACCTGCTGTCTGTTTAACATACAGTCTAACAGGCCTCAAGGACCTCAGAGTCTCATTGCCTAAGTGACAAAGTAACAGTTCAACTGGCATATTGAAAAGTGATAATCTTTAGTGAAATTTTTTTACAGCTCCTCATAGCTCCTGTTAGCTGTTAACTGCACGGGAACTTCCTTTTTAAGAACCGAGCAAACCGACAAGAAGCACGGCATACATCAAGGAAACACCCTAATTAAAGCACGCAACTCACATAACCTAAATGAACACCAGGCAGAAACGGGGGGGAAACCCCTCTGAGTAATTCATACTGTATAAAGTAACAGAAAGCCTTGCTGTAATTAGCCATATTGTAAATGAGCCAACCCACTTCTCTATGGAGATGACCCTGAAATGTAAAATACATCAGAAACCCCCCGCTGACGTTATCAGAGGCAGATGAACAAAACAAAAACCAGTATAGCAGTTAGTGGTTTATATAAATAAAATGCTGTATATATATATATATATATATATATATATGTACAGTATTGGAGCTTTAACGATTAGTCAATTGACAAAAAATTCATCTGCAGCTATGATACCTGATGATCGATTAACAGTGAAATTTCAAGCAAAAATGTCAAACATTTGCTGGTGACAGCTTCTTAGATGTGGAGTATTTTCCACTTCTCTCTGGTCTCTACATCTAGTAATTGATCATTTGGGGGTTTGGGACTGTTAATTAGAAAAAAACGAGGCCTATGAAGCCAATGCCTTTGGCTCTGGGAAATGATACAGGGCAATTTTCTGAGATTTTATAGCCCAACGATTATCGATCTTAATTTAGCTATTAATCATAATGGCTAGGTGATAGGTAATCACTATGAAATTAAACAAAAAATGACAATAAATCTCAGTAATTGGCTACCTAAAGCTGTTTACTTAAACCATATTAACATTAATTTGCCATGTGTAACTGTCAAGCAAATATTATGGTTTACATTCTATATGAACAAGCATTTTATATATTATTTTAAATGTGCAATATATAGTGTTACCCATCATATCTGACTAGAATCCCAGAGGGGTGAATTATGAATTTAATCAAACTGCGTAAACTGGTTCACAGGGTCTATAGACGTGAATATTTTATGGCTAAATGTTTTATTTACCAATATATATTTGATAGTCAGCAGGGAGACCGCTCTGAGCCGCTTCCAACTCCACTTCTGGCTGTGGCAGATCATCAATATTATATTTTTACACCTAAAAGTCAAATGTGGCTGATTTAACTAGGCTGGCCTCATTCATCATATGATATCAGAGCTAAATCTAAGCATCTAGAGAGTCAGTTTACAGTTTTTTTAACATGCTGTATGATTTCAGATGTGGATAGTAAACAAGATTTAGAATTTTATTTATGCATGGTGATTTTAAATGTTTCTTCTGGACAGTAAAAACTTTTCACCCAGCTTTGATAAGTGCCAGTAAATAAAGCCCAGACTATATATTTCACAGGACAAAAAGGACAAGCTTTGCTCCAACAAACCATGATGAAGGTGTGATATTGGACAGATTGTGCAGCCAGGCTTTTAGCTCTTCTCATGTGAGCTGTTAAAGGTAAAATGGTCTCTGAAGTACAGTAGTCTGGGTGTCAGTGTCATCTGCCTCAAAATGTGCTTTGGGCTGTCAATAACTACACTGCCTCAGATAGTTTTTGGAAATCAGCTTCAACAGCGGCAACACTATGAAGTCGCACTTGGATGACAAATGGAATAGATTGGATAGAAATACATCTTTGGAAGTTAATTTGCAAGTAAATGGGTTTGAGCCATCATCCGCTCTTGAACGTACTCTAAGAAAACGCCCGTCATCCTAGCTTCTGAAGCACTCATCTGCATTATGGCTTAATTAAAGAGTTGTGGAAATGGGAGGAAAAGCGTGTAGCTGCCAGAATTATCACTGTGGAATATTGGAAACTAGTTAAAATACTTTTTAATATTCATGGTCTGCCCTTTGAGACAGAGCCCCAATAAAACTGAAGAGCTTGAAGGTGTTGTGGCACTGAATTGATTTGGCAGAAGGTGTGGAGAGATATTTGGAGACCTTTTTGAGCGGTTTGTGTGGCGAAAATTAGAAAATAAGATATATCTAGTCACAAAGCGACAAGAGACTGAGGGGCAGACAGCACAGCTCCTGTGGCACTGAGGTGTGATGTGACTACACTGTGTCAGAGATTGCCATCACGTTTAATTATCTGGCTGGCTGCACTAACTAAAATGGTCGACCGGAGGACCCAGTCAGTCACTAACCCCCCTCAGGCTGATATTTCCCATCCCCTCGTCTGGTCCACTTCACTCTGAACGCCTCCAGCTGACTTCCACGTTATTATTGCGGGCTGGACATTATTGCGTTAGTGAGACGAATCTCTTTGTCTTTTTGTAACTGCAGTGATAAAGCCTCATCACATACCCTTCTGATGACTTTTGGGACCAAAAGAGATTATGGTACATCACTCTTGTGTAATACAAACCTCAGAAGTGAAGTTATGTTAGAGCAACGACAATAATTTATATTTAAGAGTGTTGTGGCTTTGAGGCTTTTACTTCAACTTTATTCTTATCCTGAAAGAAATTTGATTTGCAGCCAGACAATGAACACATTGATTAGTGTATCAATGGCCTTGAACCAAAACAATTAATCGTCAAAATATAAATGCAATATTTAATATAAAGCATGCTATTTAAGGACAACTCTCTTAATATTCTAGATTTTTCTCCAAATTACTATTCCAAGATCAAACACCTAAACATATTCTTCAACAAATGCACTTTACTTTTGTTTGAGTAGCATTTAATGCTTAGCTGTTTTAGGAACTTTTTGGGGCCTTTTCTTCTTTAAAAACAAATGTATATATTTGTCACCTGTTTTTAAATAATTATTTCTACAGTAGAAGTAAATGGGCTCGGTTTTCATGGGTTTGTTGACAACAGCAAAAATATAGAATACTACCAGCCTTATTATTTTTTTTTTTTTAAATATAGAAGAAAACACTGTATATAAAAACACTACTGCCACACAAGGATCAAAACGGAACTTGAAGCCAAGTAAATGTCTTAATTGTTAACTTATTCTTAACATCCTGGTTGTGCAGTCAATGAATGGAAGAACACCGACAGTAAAACAATTGAACATTCTCATTATTGAGAGTACAACTCAAGACTGGTCATGTGGAGTTTGTCGATATGGTCTTCCAACCAGTCACTGGACTGGAATACATGTCAATATTAATATCCCCACTGGTTTCTCCTCCTCCCAACAAACCCCCACAAACTACAAGGCCCTACCCCCAGAAAGAGGGAGAGATAAAGGGAGGGCAGGAAAGAGGGATAAAGGGAGAGGATAATAAACACTTAATCCTTTCTCTCCACTCATTTAGGTCATCCGTCTGTCGGTCAATAAGCTAGGGTCCATTCAGTCTATAAGCATGTGGTCCATTGACCTCTTCGGCCCAATGGCACGCAAGAGACTGGGCCAAGATGGATGCCAGCACAACAATAATGACACACACTCATTAAGGTTTTCCAATCAGCGGCACGACAACATGGCAATATGTAAAGTGCATGGTTAACCCCAATCGACCGCAGAGTCTATATCAGAATGCTATTGTTGAAATCTATTAGAGATATGCTCACCATCAACTACAGCAAGAAATTGTGATTATTCTCCTACCGTTTATAGGTTTCTCTGCACTCCTTCGCTCCGAAGTCAGTGCTCTCTCGCAAACAAATGGAGCGAGCTCTGCAGAACTGCGAGCTGAAAGTACGTACAATCAGCTGGCACAGGAGGATTAGGCATCGCTCTAATGCTCGAGCCACAACACCCAGTTCTGCCTACATGTGAGCAGATGTGGCGCTCCTTAAATTACACTGTAGACCTAATGACCTAGATTGCTGGGTGGAAGCCCTGAGTGGAAGCGCTGGCTGCCTCTCAATCTCTTTACCGCCTTTATATGCTGGGGGTGAATCTGTGCTACTACACTAGATATCAGATATTGTGGGTGGCGAAGCGCAAAAAATATAACCTTCCATTGTGTACAAAGCATTAGAGTCTCAAAAACAGCCTCATACTTCCACTGAAAGAAGTCAAATTTAAATTGTTGGTTTAATAGGTTTAAATTATAGAGCAAAGGGCGAAAATGATTTTGCTTTCTGAATTCAAGCAGCTAAAAGCGCCTGAAGCTGCTCCTTTAAACATTTCCCATGTGGGTTTAACTTTGTCTACTTGTTAAAAAATGGAGGGCTGCCAATGTTGGAAGGCTAAGAGAGAGCGGGCACATCCCAGAGTTTCCCCTGACCATGGTGGAAGCTTCTCGCTTTCCTGAGCCTCGCGGATCAAGAGATTAAAACCCTTTCGGCAGGGTGTCCGATTAAATGGGCCTGATATGCTCTCTGGGCTTTCCCCTCCCTGGATACAGCGCCACCAGTCCACACCACACATGCCAGACAAGGGGAGATGACTACCCACAATAAGGA